AAATTAATTATCCGCCATTATATGCGAGCGCAGAAATAGTTACCAAACCGTAAGGGCGTTTACAGAATGCTGAAATTCTATTTTCAGCGATTCAAAACTTTGATTTGCACCATTCAAGAGCGATCAATTGAGCAAAATGTCAGCAACAGAAATAGATTTAGTATCATTGAACTTCTTTGATAAGGACCGGGAAAAGGAAAAAAGCATTTCAGTTAACTTTTCTTGCTAATAATTATATAACTCCATCAATGAATGCTAAAAAGACAGCGAGAATACTTCCCGTCAGCAATTTAAGTGAAAGTCCAAATAGGCTCTTTACTGACAAATAATATAAAAAGCTCATAACAATTACACTTGCATGCAACCCATAAAACGAGCTTATTTCCATGAAACTATAACAAATTAGATTTATCTCCAATCAAACTTGCAAATTTGTACCTGCGTCATTTTCCGTTACCGTGGGATGCCTTTACAGCGCCCAATTAAGGTAAAGCGCTATAGTCAAAGTTAAATTGCGACATAAAAGCCGTTTCCGAGCTCGTTTCGACGCAATCACGTGGCGGAATTAATTAATTTCCATATCGTCAGATGAGCATGTGAGTTCTCTCGTGACGGCAATTATGAATCAGATTGCTGCCGCCTGACGTGACAGTAAATTCATCGGCACCGCGAGATGGAGGTTAGACTGACTGGCAGGCGTGCGTTTCAACTAACTGCACGAATTGGATCGAGATGCAAATGAGCCGGGCTGGAAACTCCCTCGACTGAATTATAGTCTGCTGCCCAGAGCGAATGCAGCTGTTTGTGATGTGTTTGAAAGGATCTGTTCAACCTTTTGATGGACGTTCAATTTGACATTGATATGTAATTTTGGCTGAAAATTTTAAACATCATTTGAATTTTCATAATAATATAATTTTTCAGATTCTATTGAAGAGAAATAGTATAGTCAATTTTTATTATTATATTAATTAAATTGAAATCCCTTTAATAATATCTGTCTTTAAAAAAATGTTCAATAAATTGCGAAATATTGCGTTCAATTTTGCGCCACTGTCTAAATATTTGTGTTCAGTCTGAATTTAAGCGGTGCGGATGATCTTCGAAGGGTTGGCGAGCTCCGGAACAACGGTAATATTATCATTTCCAGCAAGTCGCACTCGTGTTCAAACATCCTCCAGTCACGCCTCCCCAACCGCACCAACCCCTTCGTTGCTCCTTTCGCCAGCGAGGTGCGACGAAATCGCGATTGCGAGTAGGATAAATTTTTGCGCTCAACTCCGAGCTGGAGTGTGGTTGATAATGTTGCAGACTCGACCGCAAACATGCACATCCCGCATTGCAACACACAGCGCGCGAGCCGGCAGCGCCCTGGGCTGCGGTCAATCGGCCAAATTAGACAGGCAGAATGTTATTTTTACGGCGGGTGCATCGTGCGTTTGATACAAATGAAATTACACACCACTTCTGCGTGCGTGATTGCGCAAAAATTTTCAAAGCTTTAACTTCAAAGGCCGCGGGAATTTCACTGCGGAATTTGAAATATTCATTGCAGCCTGAGCGGTGGAATGAAATTATTCTCCTGGATTTAATTAATTACTTTTTTCAGGTACATTTTTCATCACATTACAAAAATTTGCTGAAATTTGGAAAGCCGAAAAGGCGAAAATATGTATTCTATTTTTTGCACTTTATTGATTTGGTGCACAGCTTAGCGGTAGCAAGTGATCAAAGTTTTGAACTATGGAAGCACAATTCAATCTGCTTGACAAATAAATTTCATCTAACAATAAGGATTGATACACTATCATGAACAATCTCGTCTTCTGTGACGTGAAGGATGCACGGGCCCAAATTTTTGAAATTCTTTATATTTTCTGATTTATCAGAACAACATTATTCCATTATATTGTCAAAAATTTTCAGATGAATGAAATTTGATCTTAATTTTGTATTTCAAATTCAAGATAAGTTTAAATTTAAAAAATAAAATAAGTATAAATTGTTTTTTTTAAACACATAAAAATAATTACTTACTTGTGAAACACTTGAAAACACCAGTATTATGTTAGACAAATGAGCCTAAAAAACTTAGGTTTTTTTTTATCCAAATTATTTAGTCCTTTCTTAAAATTTAATTCTTCAATCTTTTTTTTTTTAGCAGTGAGCGTAGAAAAAGTTAGATGTACACATTCATCTGCTTGAAGTCGTGTTTTAGCACGTCAAGTCTTTAATCCGACTGTGTCGATCCTCTCGCTCAATTTTGCATCGAGGCCTACGGCGGAAAGCCCATAATGCCGTTTTGGATGCAGCGCGCCGCGCCAAGTCGATTTCCAATAGCTCTTTTGCCCGAGAGCTCTGCGAAACTTTTCCGTCCAACAGACCGGGCCGCTCAGAGCTTTCAATAAAAACCTACTTTCAATAAAACCTACTCACTCTCAATAATAGAGCGAGCTGCTGCTGCTGGTAAGAAAAGTTGAGTAGCGATTCTCTCGCCCACGCGACGACGGCCACTCAAAAATCCGTTCGGTTGTTCGAACCGTCCAAATAATTCCACAAGGAACCAACCGACGCATTCACGCAGCACGTCACACCCGCTAATTGGAAAAGTTGAACGCGCACCTTGGCGAAAACGAAACGAAATCTGGCGACGGGAGGAAAATGAGATTAAACGTGTTTTTCGCGTCAGTGCCACGCTAGCTGTCGGCAGATAAATCAAATCAAAGGGTCGGAGGAATTCCCCGAGAAAGAATGCTACCGCTGCTGTTTCTTTTTTCCCTCCGGCCACTCTCACAAGGGATGATATATCAGGCTGTAGCGATTCATTTTGCTGCCTCACATTTTTCAGAACGTCTTTCGCATTGTTGAGCAGTAATCTGGGGAAACGCCTCTTCAGAAAGATCAAAACTGCCCATCGGAAACGAAGCTTTCCTTTTCACCAACAGCGGGAGTGCATTACTTGAGATTGGAAGACTCTACAGTGAAGCGATCGGCGGCATTCAAATGCAAATACACGCGCAATTAATTAGTTCCAGCATCTAAAGCTCGAGGCTAAGTAATTTAATCACAACATCATTGCCGTGTTCGGTTCCCTCCGCAAGCAAATAGAGCTCCAGAACCTTCAAAGTATATGGGCCAAGTCCAAACTGATCATTATGAAGAGAATAAATATTGTAACCAAACGCGTTTCAGGAGCTTCAAATTCAGTCAAAATATTTAGATTTAAGCGATTTTAACTTGGATATCCAAGTCAGAATAAGGAAAAATGGTCCAGTTACCCCCCTTCCCCGTTTTCTCGTGAACATTTCGAAAAAATTTTAACTTTCCTCAGATCTACCAGTTTGGATTATTATAGTATTTCTCTGCATCAACGTTGAGATACACTTAAAAAATATTAAACTTTGTGTTTGCAATATTTTAAATTGGCCCGTACTTGAGGAAGTCCGCGAATAGAACCAATATCGAAGTGGCATCTCGCTCTAATTAACGCCGCGAATCCAGCTGCCGGCGGCGATTCAGACGATTATCCCGTGTAAACATTCTGTTGCACATAATAATCAAACAGATCTGGTGGATTTGCTTTTCATCCCGTCAGTGACATGTTTATTATGCTAAGTCCCTCGTTCGCTCAAACTCTACGCCTCGAACAAAATTAGATTCGCACCAGTCGCATCTGGCAATTATTATTATTCGCACGAATGGTGAATTGCAAAAATTCTTTCGGGCGAATAAAGTTGTAATCACGGCGTTCCTGCGCCTAGATTTGCCATGCGGAGCGAATTGTTTTTAATTGGGCTGTTTGCCGGACGCTGTTTGCAGCCGTAATTGGGAGTAACGGTCTTTGGGGGGTGTTTTAAAATCACCCGCAGCTCGGTAATTCAGTTTAATCTCTTCGCTGAAATGAAAACATAAGGCCACAACGGCAGACAAAAATAGCGCGTCCCAGGCCAAAACGCGGCACTCAAGTTATAAAACAGCCATTGTGCTTATATTTTTAACAAAATTATCTTATAAATTTTTTAGTCACTTGCACAGTTTCCAGTTTAGTAAATTCATTTTTTTTTCTAAATTTGTTAATTAAAATAATAGCAAATGTATTTTAATTTTTGAAATATCTTCATGCTCTAAACACCAATTTAATTCAAATGCCAAGTTTGCTTTAATCGATCAGTGCAAATTAATGGTTGTTTTCAGCAGTGGTGGCTGCACATAAATTTATTCCTAAGCGCTTTTTGCGCCCAACTCGCAATTTAATTCCTCAGCACATTAGCGCGCCTCGTCTTGTAATTGATGAGCCGCGCTTTAACCTTGCCGGCTGCCGATATCTATTCTAATAAAAAAAAACACGCAAAGATAAAATGCTGATAAATTTTGCGCATGTATTCCACTGCAGAGTGTTTCTGCCTGGTTGGTGTACGTAACGCACCCGACCACACCGAAGGCGGTTGTAAAGACCCTTGCAAAAATATTTTATGGCCAAGAGAGCGTAAAAATTTACTTTTTTAACTATAAAGAACATCGTTTAGGCTCGTCTAGGTCTCGTCGTCGCTCCTACCGGCAATTTTATGGCAAATCGAAGATCCTTTAATGTTCGTTTGCAAATTATGAACGAAGTAGAAAGATGTTTATAAGTTTAAAAACCAGCAAAATCAATAAAAAATCTACTTAATCGTTACAAAATAAATATGGAAAGGAGAGGAAATGTAAAAATTAAGTAACAAAATTCTTTTTAACCTCAATTTAAAATTGTGCTAGTAACAATTTTATTCTGCTTTCCTCCTAACCATTTTGTTTTGTTCATAAATGATAGAAATCTTTTGACAAAAAGTGCAAATTGAATGGACGGCATCACAGGGGTGCGATTTTTGTTTCAAATATTAAAAATATGCAAATAAGTAAAAATAACACGGTTGTTGCAACTCATACACAAAAGGGATTCAAGATTGATATAATAATTATAGTACGTATGATAATTGTGCCTTCAAAAGCAGCGGACTCACGTTAAAATGCGCCACAAAAGTCTGACACTTCTTAAGGGACTATTGTGATGCTTTAGGCAGGTCGCCACAATATTGCCTCCCTTGCCCGGGGACATTTTCGAGGGCGAGCCCTTGTCGCTCATGTCGCCAGTCCTACGCGGCCGCACCACCACTCAGCAGTCTCTTGTTGGCGGCGGCCGTGGCCACCGCGTCGCGCACCATCCTGCCCGCACTCGCACAAAACACAAACTGAAGCTGCGCCTCCGCCGTGTCCGCCGCAACCCGCGGTGCAGACAGCGCGGCGCAGTCTCCCTCCGCCCCGGCGCAACACCAAAATTATCCGCGAAAAGTCGACGGATTAGCAGTGCACGTCGTTTAGCACATTTTCGCACAGGTATTTGAAAAAGTTTGGGTACACATTTGTAAGGAATGCATTAATTAACATCACTGCATCAATATTTTGAAAAAATTTCTCTATTAAATTTCTAGTTGATTTTTTTCAAATTGTGTTATTCTCAATAACATAATCAAAAGTTCAATTCTACTCAGATAAAAATTTTTAAATCAATAATTTATTTGCGGCTGTGCTGTTTCTGTATTTTTTTTTTATTCCGCGTCTCTGCTAATGAGCTACTGTATTTATGTAGTCAAAGTTATTCATGAGCTTTAGGGCATGCCAGTTTTTCGAACCATAATTGGACAGGATATTCCATATATTATTATTATTTTGATATACTAAAGGGAAAACGGCCAATGATTTATTAACTAAATCATAACATTGAACATTGATATTAGTAAACAGGACATTTTACAAACAAATTTAGTTCAAAACAAGATAATCGCAGCTTAACTATCACGCTTGTAAATGTTGCTTACTTTGTTTTATAAAATTTTGGAAATTTTGATAATTTTCATGCTTGTAAATTAAAGTAATAATTTAATATGATATACTTGTTCCAGAAAATAACTGTTAATAAACTTAATAAAACCGTTTAAGGTTGGTTCACTTTGTTTCCCTATAAAAATGAAAAGTTTTGCCATAATTTTGTCAGTTAAAGTTAAAAAAAAGGAGCAATGAAATATTTGAATATAAAAAAAGGATATGTAGCAAAAACTATTCTGACTTGCTGCAGAATTTAATTTTATCCTTATGACTTTACCATTAATTCCTAGACTTGAGATGTTCAAATTTTTCCTATTAATTCCTGCAACTGTGACTCAAAATGTGGAGTAGGCCAACTTGCTTGCTATAGAAATCTGTGAGTTTCTCTCCGCAGTTTCCGTCAACCTCACTTTTGGCACCTCTCTGCGCACCTCTGGGAATTTTGTACTGTCTTGGCACTTGGCCCGAACGGCTGCTGCACTGCTTCCGCCAAACTCAATTAGTCGCATTTAGTGCTTTGACACTGCAGCCGATGGCATACACGTATTATTATATTAGCTCCCAGGGATGTGCGCAACGCCGCCGCAGACATAATTCGTGCTCCAGCTTGAATGCACCGAGTGAATTAATAATTCAGAGATGCTCCAGGTTTGCGAACTGCTGTTTAATAAATTCCCAAGAAAGTCTTTGGGGAAATCGAATGCGAACGTGGATGTTGCAGTGAAAAATCTTCTTTTCCATTGTCGGAGCGGCGGATTATGGGAGGCCAATAAGGCGGCGCTCTTGTTTTCCCCGGAACAAGAGAAGAGCGGATTGCAAAGCAATGCCTGCGGTCAATGGCTCTCCTGGTGCCTGTAGAACTCGCTTCAGTTCCGAACTACACACAACTCGACGGCAATTAGACCCGCCAAGTTGATGACTCCACCTCTTGCTCGGAATTACGCCAATTTCCGATGAAAATGAAAGGCTGCGTTTGTTTCGAAAGGAGCTGCTCGCTTAATGGTCGCTCGGAAAGATGCGCAAACAATGGGTCTTTTTAATGTTTCTCCTGGCGATGATAAATCTTCCCTTATGTTCGCTGCCTAATTAGCATTTTGCACAAGAATCAACTGAGTCAGGTTAAATTGAAGATGGATAGAACTTTGATAATAATTTTTGTTCTGTAATTTCATGAACTCATCACCTAAATAAAAGGATAAAGAAAAGGAAATTCCATTTTCATGTCTTTTTACACATAAACTCATTTCAAGTTATAAACATTTAGTAGAGAAAATTTTGATCAAATAGCTTTTTTTGATGCCAAAATGTAATGAGCATAAAATATAAGCATAGGAACTATAAAAATTATTAAAATAAAATTTTAAAAACGTTATAAAATAAGTTTTAAGATATAAAAAAAATATTTAAAATATTATAAAATTTGTGTTAATAAAAATTGTATTAAATTTATAGTTTAACAAAAGTCTCATAACAGTTTCCATTCTTTTTGCTCTCCAGTCTCTGCAGTCAGCAAACAGACTGGATTTGAAAATGCTCATTTGCCTCTAGGGAGACTCGAGAATCACGTCTCAACGTCTCATCGCGAACAAAAACGTGCAACGGCGTTAGTTTGTTTTAGCAGAAAACTCAATTTGCTCCGCAGCAGTTGTTTCGCAAGACAAGAAAATCTCGCGTGTGTGAGCGAGTTTAAAGCGATTATCTGCTATGCAGGATCATGAGCCCAACTGGGTTCAGCTACCCTCTGAACTACTTTGCGAGCTCTTTGCCGACGGAATTCATTTTCATATACGGGGCTAATATTAAACTGGAGCGAGAGGATGCTTAAATTCCCGAAAATTTAGCAGCCGAAATACATCAGAGGTTCGTTCTGCTGGCTCCGGGCGGTGCTGCTACTTTTACATTTCACTTCTCATTACGACGTGTAATAATAGCTGCCGAGAGGGGCGCAGACGAAAGAATTCCGCCGACTGCGAAACGAAGCTCCCAAGTTTTTCAATAAAGATGGTGAGGCGCGTCTTCATTAGTGTGTGTGCCGCGCAACGAGAAACGCTGCGCGCAAGTTTTAATGAGGAGGATTCGAACACGGGGCGAAATTTTATTTCAAGATGAGGTCACGGAAATGTCGCACGACGTAATTTTGTTTAGCTACATTTTCAAATATCCCAGTTGCTAAAGATATGAAGTGAAACTTTTTAATTTCACGCTTATCATAATTTTTTCAGAACAATTGAGTACAATTTTGATTTTTTTTTATATAAGATTGCTGATCATTCTCTCCAAGCAAGTTTGACGCACAGCTTCGAAGTTTTGAAATAATCGATAAATTGTAAGTATGAATAAATTATTGAAAAAATCACGAATATAAAGAAAATCAATAAAAATAAAGAAGTTGAAAACAATTACAGAGTTCAAGAATAAATTGAATTTACAGTCGGCTTTTCCTCTACGGTTGGTTTTTAGTCGTTTCTATTGTTTCACAAACAAACAATATCATGCTCTGAAAGCAAAAACAATAGCAGCAGGATATTTTTTATTTTCAAAGATACAATAAACAACTCAGCGAGGAAAAGCCTAACTAAATTAAATCCATCGTGTATTGCAAACTTGAAACAAAGGTAGAATGTTAAAACAGTCAAAATTCACCGTAGTTGACTACTTTGGCTTAAAAACGGCGTAAACCGCCTTGATCCGCAAAACAAATATTTTGAATATAAAAAGTGGATTTAAGACACACGTTTTGCACAAATATTTCAATTTTGGCAATAAAGATTTGTGAATTAAAACAATTAAAAACTGCATTATGAAAGAGCATCATTTGGAAAATTATCTTTAAATAGATAATTCAAATGTATACACACAAAAATAGCGTTTTTTTTTTTTATCAATATTATGATGCAAACATTGAATAATATTTCGCAATATTGAAGTTATTTGAGACATTTTTTGTAAAAACTGAAATTATAAAATTAAGTAACAACGACAAGAAGCCCAAATTATTAAGTTAATCAAAATAATCAACTGAAACATAAAAAAATTATGTAATTTTAGCATTTAACTATGCAGAAAAAACGTAAGAGAAGATTTAAATCTATGTTATTATAAAGTTTGGAATTCATGTGTTGCTTTTCATACCTAGACGTAATTTTATCCATTTGTGAGGAACGATAGGAAAGGACTTACGTTTCACTTCCAAGCTACAAAGGTTCAGCAACACTTACCTGGAACAAACAGAAAGTTTCACATTAGTTAGTTAATCCTCAAACAAAATGGCAGCCATGCAAATTCAGTCTCACATATAATGTGTCATTCACACACAGGGAATCATTAAAACTCCGTCGAATTTCCGCACCGACCGTAAAACAAACTCGATCCGCACGTTCCAACTTTGGAAACAATCGGCAAAACAGCTGCCATTTAATTAGCCTGTCGCAACTTTTGGTGTTAATTCTTGATTCTGCCAGCGGGAAATGTGTTGCCAAGGCGCGAGCGCTTGGAAGGCGATTGTTGCACCCCCCTTGTTAAACCAAACGTTCGTCCGACTAACGAGCGGACGGACGGACGGACGACATTCCGCCCGTCAAATCCAGTCCCAAATTGCACACGCCAGATGAGCGCCAAAGAGCTGGCGACGAGTTATTGATCATCGTCATTATGTGAATGTGCACATACTAGGGATGGATTTCAGAGAGAAAGAAATCCACTCTGGGCGCGAGGAAAAGTTTTGAAAGCGACGGTGTTTCGGTTTTTCAAGAGGGATCGACAAAAGGGCGAAAAGTCGGACGATGCAACTTGTGGAGTTGCGGAGACACAATTTTTCATGTCTGGTTATTGAAAATAAGTTTTGACCTCTACGATATTTTATTTTTATTTCCAATGAATTAGAAATAAGGTCTCTCATGAATTAAGAAATTTCAGTTCTAATTTTATTATTAATTAAGTAATATCAATAGTAGTATTGTTATGATTAGTTTGAATTAAATTTCAATAAATTTTAAAGCGTTTAAAGTCTAACAAATACTTCTCCAACATTAGTACTCACCTCCTTGATCTCTGCATTAGAATGTTATATGAAAATTTTAAACGTAAAAAAATTAAACTAATTAAATTAACCTAATCATTGTAAAAATGAAAAAAAAGTAATTTTAAAAACCAAAGATTTGTAAAATCCGTGGTAAATATTAATTTTTCAAAATGGTCTTAATTATTTTTGCAGCAATTCCTCCCTTTAGAATTTAGCATTAGCACAAGAAACCCTAGATTTTGTTTGAA